GTGTGGTCTACAGCTTATCATAAGGTACTCTACCGTCGTTCAGCCACGACTCGGTGAAACATAAGATATTACAGTTTTTAATGTCCCGTTGGTAGGATAACCGTAATCTTAGGTCATCCAATTTATTCTCAAATGATTGAAGATTGGCTAATGGGATTGATGGAAGAGGCAGTTTACTCGCTCGCCGTCGGATCCTTACAAGGCACCCCGACCTACGTCCACGATATCTCTGTCTCTTTCTCATGTGAATGACAGGGATTTGGGACTTGTCGGGTGTCTGTAGGATATCCTTTGCGTCCGACTTGTTGAATAAAAATTATTTGTCCAATACGAGGTGAGTAATCGCTGTCCTGATATCCAGAAGCTACTTTGGTTATAAGAGACAATGGCAGAAACATTAAGTACAGAATAAATTACAAATAACGCGGAAAAACACACATTATAGTACAATTGGTTAGAGGGCTGTAAAACGACAGCCATCTTCTCCGGCGCCATTCATAGTGTTGTAGAGAGTCTAAACTACCTCTAACTTCCTTCATAGTGTTGTAGAGAGTCTAAACTACCTCTAACTTCCTTCATAGTGTTGTAGAGAGTCTAAACTACCTCTAACTTCCTTCATAGTGTTGTAGAGAGTCTAAACTACCTCTAACTTCCTTCATAGCGTTGTAGAGAGTTTAAACTACCTCTAACTTCCTTCATAGTGTTGTAGAGAGTTTAAACTACCTCTAACTTCCTTCATAGTGTTGTAGAGAGTCTAAACTACCTCTAACTTCCTTCGTAGTGTTGTAGAGAGTTTAAACTACCTCTAACTTCCTTCATTGTGTTGTAGAGAGTTTAAACTACCTCTAACTTCCTTCATAGTGTTGTAGAGAGTTTAAACTACCTCTAATTCCTTCATTGTGTTGTAGAGAGTTTAAACTACCTCTAACTTCCTTCATAGCGTTGTAGAGAGTCTAAACTACCTCTAACTTCCTTCATAGTGTTGTAGAGAGTCTAAACTACCTCTAACTTCCTTCATAGTGTTGTAGAGAGTCTAAACTACCTCTAACTTCCTTCATAGTGTTGTAGAGAGTTTAAACTACCTCTAACTTCCTTCATAGTGTTGTAGAGAGTCTAAACTACCTCTAACTTCCTTCATAGTGTTGTAGAGAGTCTAAACTACCTCTAACTTCCTTCATAGTGTTGTAGAGAGTTTAAACTACCTCTAATTTCCTTCATTGTGTTGTAGAGAGTTTAAACTACCTCTAACTTCCTTCATAGCGTTGTAGAGAGTCTAAACTACCTCTAACTTCCTTCATAGTGTTGTAGAGAGTCTAAACTACCTCTAACTTCCTTCATAGTGTTGTAGAGAGTCTAAACTACCTCTAACTTCCTTCATAGTGTTGTAGAGAGTCTAAACTACCTCTAACTTCCTTCATAGCGTTGTAGAGAGTTTAAACTACCTCTAACTTCCTTCATAGTGTTGTAGAGAGTTTAAACTACCTCTAACTTCCTTCATAGTGTTGTAGAGAGTCTAAACTACCTTTAACTTCCTTCATAGTGTTGTAGAGAGTTTAAACTACCTCTACCTCTAACTTCCTTCATAGCGTTGTAGAGAGTCTAAACTACCTCTAACTTCCTTCATAGTGTTGTAGAGAGTCTAAACTACCTCTAACTTCCTTCATAGTGTTGTAGAAAGTCTAAACTACCTCTAACTTCCTTCATAGTGTTGTAGAGAGTTTAAACTACCTCTAACTTCCTTCATAGCGTTGTAGAGAGTCTAAACTACCTCTTACTTCCTTCATAGTGTTGTAGAGAGTCTAAACTACCTCTAACTTCCTTCATAGTGTTGTAGAGAGTCTAAACTACCTCTAACTTCCTTCATTGTGTTGTAGAGAGTCTAAACTACCTCTAACTTCCTTCATAGTGTTGTAGAGAGTCTAAACTACCTCTAACTTCCTTCATAGCGTTGTAGAGAGTTTAAACTACCTCTAACTTCCTTCATAGTGTTGTAGAGAGTCTAAACTACCTCTAACTTCCTTCATAGCGTTGTCGAGAGTCGAAGATCCCGTTTATTTTCTTATTTCAATCATAATCAAGTCATTTCCATTATTGACTTGTGTGTGCTGAGAAATAAATAGAAAACAAAACATATTTTCATGTCAAATAAAGAATTAATATTATATATACATAAACTACCGGTCAAAAGTTTTAGAACACCTACTCATTCAAGGGTTTTTCTTTATTTTTACTAGTTTCTATATAGTAGAATAATAGTGAAGACATTAAAACTATGAAATAACACCAAAACCCAAAAAGTGTTAAACAAATCAAAATATATTTTATATTTGCGATTCTTCAAATAGCCACCATTTGCCTTGATGACAGCTTTGCACACTCTTGGCATTCTCTCAACCAGCTTCATGAGGTAGTCACCTGGAATGTATTTCAATTAACAGGTGTGCCTTCTTAAAGGTAATTTGTGGAATTTCTTTCCTTATTAGTGCGTTTCAGCCAATCAGTTGTGTTGTGACAAGGTGGGGCGGGGCAAAATAAATGCTTCACAGAGTTCAAGTAACAGACACATCTCAACATCAACTGTTCAGAGGAGACTGCGTGAATCAGGCCTTCATTGTCGAATTGCTGCAAAGAAACCACTACTAAAGGACACCAATAATAAGAAGAGACCTGCTTGGGCCAAGAAACATGAGCAATGGACATTAGACCGGTGGAAATTTGTCCTTCGGTCTGATGAGTCCAAATTTGAGATTTTTGGTTCCAACCGCCTTGTCTTTGTGAGATGCGGTGTGGGTGATCTCCACATGTGTTTTTCCCACCGTAAAGCATGGAAAAGGAGGTGTTATTGTGTGGGGGTGCTTTGCTGGGGACACTGTCTGTGAGTTATTTAGATTTCAAGGCACACTTAAACAGCATGTTTACCACAGCATTCTGCAGCGATACGCCATCCCATCTGGTTTGGGCTTAGTGGGACTTTCATTTTACTTTCAACAGGACAATGACCCAACACACCTCCAGGCTGTGTAAGGTCTATTTCACCAAGAAGGAGAGTGATGGAGTGCTGCATCAGATGACCTTGCCTCCACAATCCCCAGACCTCAACCAAATTGAGATGGTTTGGGATGAGTTGGACCGCAGAGTGAAGGAAAAGCAGCCAATAAGTGCTCAGCATATGTGGGAACTCCTTTAAGACTGTTGGAAAAGCATTCCAGGTGAAGCTGGTTGAGAGAATGCTGAGAGTGTGCAAAGCTGTCATCAAGGCAAAGGGTGGCTATTTGAAATCTCAAATGTAAAATATATTTAGATTTGTTTAACACTTTTTTTTTTACTACATGATTCCTTATGTGTTATTTATTTCAGAACGAGTAGTATGGCTGGTGGCATTGTCATGCTGGAGGATCATGTCATGATGAGCCTGCAGGAAGGGTACCACATGAGGGAGGATGTCTTCCCTGTAACGCACAGCGTTGAGATTGCCTGCAATGACAACAAGCTCAGTCCGATGATGCTGTGACACACCGCCCCAGACCATGACGGACCCTCCACCTCCAAATCGACCCCGCTCCAGAGTACAGGCCTCGGTGTAACGCTCATTCCTTCGACGATAAACGCGAATCTGACCATCACCCGCATCCGACCATCAAGCACTCAGTCCAGCCTCTCTCAGCCTATTGCGGACAGTCTGAGCATTGATGGAGGGATTGTGCGTTCCTGGTGTGACTCGGGCAGTTGTTGTTGCCATCCTGTACCTGTCCTGCAGGTGTGATGTTCGGATGTACCGATCCTGAGCAGGTGTTGTTACACCTGGTCTGCCACTGCGAGGACGATCAGCTGTCCGTCCTGTCTCCCTGTAGCGCTGTCTTAGGTGTCTCACAGTATGGACATTGCAATTTATTGCTCTGGCCACATCTGCCGTCCTCATGCCTCCTCGCAGCATGCCTAAGGCACGTCCACACAGATGAGCAGGGACCCTGGGCATCTTTCTTTTGGTATTTTTCAGTAGAAAGGCCTCTTTAGTGTCCTAAGTTTTCATAATTGTGACCTTAATTGCCTACCGTCTGTTAGTGTCTTAACGATCGTTCCACAGGTGCATGCTCATTAATTGTTTATGGTTTTGGATTTTTGGATTTTTACAAATTATCTTTGAAAGACAGGGTCCTGAAAAAGGGACGTTTCTTTTTTTGCTGAGTTTAGAAGACAAACTATTTATTTAACAAGGAGCATAGGGATGTATAGAGATCTCTAGTACCCAAAAGCCTGTATAACATAGGCAGCGCCATTTGAGGACTGATACATAGCTGTCTCTATGCATCTCTATGGCTCAGAGGCGCCTGCAATTAAAAGGGACAGTTAACAAACAGGGCAATTAAAGGAACAGTTAACTAAAAAGTGTGAGAAAAATTCTACACGAATGGTGGGAGGACTGATTATAACAGGACTGTGTGTGTGTTTGTGTGTGTGTGTTTGTGCGTGTGTGTATGTTTGCGTGTTTGTCTGTGCCTGTCTGCGTGTGTGTGTGAACTTATTTATGCAAATAAAGTCCCCTTTATTTAAATTAATGTCTGACCCTCCTGTACCAGGCAATAAATCACCTGCTCTGAAGGATGAGGTTCTCATCTCTCTCTCTACCATTAGCCTTTTGTTGTGTCTGGATGAATGATCTGTTGGTGTGTGTGTGGCTGTTGTCTGTGTGTGTGTGTGTGTGCATGGGCCTGCAAGTGTGTGTGTGTAGATTAATGGTCCGGGGTTGTAAATAGATTTAGATGATGCAATACGTCTGAGAAGGATTTGGCATCTACATGTTTTTGTGTCTGAGAGAAGAAAAGGAAATAAAGCATCACTACTTGGTTTCTCTTGATTTAGACCTTGATGGCTATATGTATTTATGGTTATTGATATTTTAATATCAACGTTTTATTCATTTGGGAAGTCAAATGCCCATATTCAACACCCCATTGCCTCTCCTCATGAAAACGAAGAGTACGCGACTCTCGGGAAAAAGGTCAAAGACCGAAGGCGACCTCTCCCTCCTCTCCTCTCCTGAGAAGACGAACTCAGAAGGAAGAGAAGAGAAGGACTCCTCGCCTCTCCTCTCCTCACCCGAACCCTCTCATCTCCTCTCCTCTCTTCTCCTCTCCTTCCCTCCCCAACCCCCTACTTCCTCTCCTCACCAACTCCTCTCCCGCTTCGCTTCTCTTACCCTAACCCCTCTCCTCTCCTCTCCTCCTCCCAACCCACGCAGAGGCAAATTAACACACAGCTCTGGGAGACTTGTAGATGGAAAATGTTAATATATACATATTCATTATGTATGATTTACATGTTGGTGATAATTCCTACTTTCCCAGCCCAGTCGCGGTGGTGGGAATGGTTTAGTACATGATGTTAGTTTAATGGAATAGTCTGACTAATGGATGTTGGGCTGAGGAAGACGGAGGAGGCTGGTTCTCTGTGTCGTGCTGTTTATGAACAGTTTTATTGGAAACACAATCACTTCTCACATTCAACACAGTATAGTGATGTTTATGGAATGCAGACATTCTTGGGAAGAAAGATGATTGCTTTGAGACGTTTGGCTCTGCAGAGAAGAATGGGAGAAACTCACCAAATACAGATGTGCCAAGCTTGTAGTGTCATACTCAAGAAGACTCGATGCTGTAATCGCTGCCAAAGGTGCTTCAACAAAGTACTGAGTAAAGGGTCTGAATACTTATGTAATTAAGGTATTTCCGTTTTTGAATAGTTTTGCAAACATTTCTAAAAACCTGTTTTTGCTTTGTCATTATGGGGTATTGTGTGTAGATTGCTGAGAAAAACATAATATTTTATCATTTTTAGAATAAGGCTGTAACGTAACAAATGTGGAAAAAGTCAAGGGGTCTGAATACTTTCCGAAGGCATACAGTACTAGTCAAAAGTTTGGACACACCTACTCATTCAAGGGTTTTTCTTTATTTGTACTATTTTCTACATTGTAGAATAATAGCGAAGACATCAAAACGATGAAATAACACATATGGAATCATGTAGCAACCAAAAAAGTGTTTAAGAAATATATTTTAGATTTTTCAAAGTAGCCACCTTTTGCCTAGATTACAGCTTTGCACACTTTTGGCATTCTCTCAACCAGCTTCATGAGGAATGCTTTTCCAACAGTCTTGAAGGAGTTCCCACATATGCTGAGCACTTGTTGGCTGCTTTTTCTTCACTCTTCGGTCCAACTCATCCCAAACCATCTCAATTGGGTTGAGGTCGGGTGATTATGGAGGCCAGGTCATCAAATGCAGCACTCCATCACTCTCCTTCTTGGTCAAATCACCCTTACACAGCCTGGAAGTGTGTTTTGGGTCATTGTCCTGTTGAAAAACAAATGATAGTCCCATTAAGCGCAAACCAGATGGGATGGCGTATCGCTGCAGAATGCTGTGGTAGCCATGCTGGTTAAGTGTACCTTGAATTCTAAATAAATCCCAGACAGTGTCACCAGCAAAGCACCCCCACAACATCACACCTCCTCCTCCATGCTTTATGGTGGGAACCACACATGCAGAGATCATCCATTCACCTAATCTGCGTCTCACATAGACACGGTGGTTGGAACCAAAAATCTGAAATTTGTACTCATCAGACCAAAGGACAGATTTCCACCGGTCTAATGTCCATTGCTCGTGTTTCTTGGCCCAAGCAAGTCTCTTCTTCTTATTGGTGTCCTTTAGTAGTGGTTTCTTTGCAGCAATCGACCATGAAGGCCTGATTCACGCAGTCTCCTCTGAACAGCTGATATTGAGATGTGTCTGCTACTTGAGATGTGTCTGCTACTTAGGCTATAATCTAAGGTGCAGTTAACTCTAATTAACATATCGTCTGCAGCAGAGGTAACTCTGGGTCTTCCTTTCCTGTGGCGGTCCTCATGAGAGCCAGTTTCATCATAGCGCTTGATGGTTTTTGCGACTGCACTTGAAGAAACTTTCAAAGTTCTTGACATTTTCTGGATTGACTGACCTTCATGTCTTAAAGTAATTATGGACTGTTGTTTCTCTTTGCTTATTTGAGCTGTTCTTGCCATAATATGGACTTGGTCTTTTACCAAATAGGACTATCTTCTGTATACCACCCTTACCTTGTCACAACACAACTGATTGGCTCAAACGCATTAAAAATGAGTTCCACAAATTAAGTTTTAACAATGCACATCTGTTAATTGAAATGCATTCCAGGTGACTACCCCATGAAGCCTGTTGAGAGAATGCCAAGAGTGTGCAAAGCTGTCATCAAGGCAAAGGGTGGCTACTTTGAAGTCTCAAATATACAATTTGTTTAACACTTTTTGGTTACTACATGATTCCACATGTGTTATTTCATAGTTTTGATGTCTTCACTATTATTCTACAATATAGAAAATTGTAAAAATAAAGAAAAACCCTGGAATGAGTAGGTGTGTCCAAAGCTTTGACTGGTACTGTATATACAGTATGTTATATATATATATATACATTATGTATACTGTATAATGTTGACATACTACTGAAAGGCTAAAGACATGCTGTTGAAATGCTGCTGATAGTCTACAGATAGTTTGTTGAACATTTGTAGATTGATTACAGACATTTTCTTGTTGAAGTCAACAGACATGCAGTTGACATGTTACTGATAGTCTGTAGAGCAGACTATCCAAATAAAGTATTACCTCCATTTTTCTCTGGAACAATGTCCATAAACTCTTTTAACCTTAGTGCTTAGAATAGCCAATTATATTTCCACCCACCATTTCATTTGTTTGGCTTCGTTTTGAAGGCCTCAGTGTCAATTTGAGGTTTAAACTAATGCATTCTGAGAAATGTAGTATTTTCCCATATTGAACAAAATGTAAGTGATTAATGAAATATAATAGCTATTAGTGTAAAGGTTTTGTTTTTCTTGATCATTCATTTTAGTTTGTATATAACACAATGTAGAACAAAATGTGTATGTGTGTGTGCAATAAAGGTGCTGAGAGCTCTCCCTGACCCAGTGTTCATCACTAAGACCAGCCATGCGGTTACCATGGAAACACTGACTGCTGATCCTACTTTAAGTGCTGCTGCTGTGTGTTTGTCTGCGTGTGTGTATGTATGTGTGTGTGCGTGTGCATGTGTGTGTGTACGTGCGTGTGCATGTGTGTGTGTGTATGTGCGTGTGCGTGTGCATGTGTGTGTGTGTATGTGTGTGTGCGTGTGCGTGTGTGTGTGTATGTGTGTGTGCGTGTGCATGTGTGTCAGCTAAGTGCTTCTCACATCATCTCCTTTCATGTTACTTTACTCACATACCTTTACTCTGTTGTCACATTTTCTTTGGCTATCCTGACATGTGGTAAACCAGCGCTGCCCTGTAGGTTAGATTGATTTCAAACCATAGACTTTCTTCTTCTCCACCTTGGTTCTATTCTTTCAACTCATCCCTCTAAAATATTTTGTTTGTGACCTCCCACAAGCTTCTCCCGTGTTCTATAGTAGTTGTTGTCTTCATGTGTTCTATAGTATTTGTAGTCTACATGTGTTCTATAGTATTTGTAGTCTACATGTGTTCTATAGTATTTGTAGTCTACATGTGTTCTATAGTATTTGTAGTCAGTGGCGGCTCCTGAAAAAATTCTCAGGAGGGGCAATTTTTCTGATGATTTAGGTGACCTACACACATTTAAAAAAAAGATATGTCCAGCAACAACATGAAGACAGGGGCAGCATATAAGTCAATACCAGAAGCATTTATTGACTGATCTCAAAAGTGTTGGCTTACCAGGGTTGGTGGAGCCCTCAGTTTCATCTTTGCCTCGCAAAGCTAACTCAAACACTCCGCAAAACTTCACACACTGGATTAGCCGGCTGAGGATGTGGCGGTTCTTGCTAATGTCGTAGTAAATATATTTGTTATAGTGAATATGGAATATGATATGTTGAGTAAAATGTTGTGCTAAGATCTATTTAGGTCAGGAGCTGGTTATGAGTTCTGTTCCTATCCAATAACAATGGACAAAAGGGTCCTATCTTGTCAGCCTTGTCAGCAGGTGGCCAAGGACAACACCCACGCCATAGGCCTCTCAGTTCTTCCAACTCACGAGTTCTTGCTCTGAGGACACACACACACACAAACACACACACACACACATCATCACTGTTAAACACACACACACACACACACACATCATCACTGTTAAACACACACACACACACACACAAAAATCCCCTCTCTTAGGCTGAACATTTGAAGACAGAGAACCCGACTCAGAGCCAATGCAACAGTGACAGTAGCCTGGAGGTGACCTCGCCCAACTCATCAGGACCAATCAGAAGATCAGAACTACTAGATTGAACCTACTTCATTTATTGCATAAAATGTCTGCACACAATGTTTCGGGGCTCTCTTCAGATAATAATAATAATAATAATAATATGCCATTTAGCAGACGCTTTTATCCAAAGCGACTTACAGTCATGCGTGCATACATTTTTGTGTATGGGTGGTCCCGGGGATCGAACCCACTACCTTGGCGTTACAAGCACCATGCTCTACCAGCTGAGCTACAGAAAGTGGATACTCATGGATGCGCATTGCAATTGTAAAATGTCAACACAATTGGAGACACCACGTCATTTTTGGAGACATGTTATTGACAGTAAACTATTGTAGATGCGACTGCTAACTAAATAAAACATTTTAGCTGGCTAGCTAATCATCTTAGCTAAATGTGGGGCAAACAATTCAGTTATTTACCGTTAATTTGAGGGATTGGGGTGAAAGAAATCGAGTTACATAGTGATACTTTACGATATACTATTGACAATATCGCAATATTTTAGCGCTAGTTGGCTGTACCTGCACCAAAACACCATTATTGTTCCTTCATAGCTTGTTCTCAATCTTTTCACATTGGGAGCCAATTAGTTTTCAGCACTTTTATTTCCATGACTGATCAAAACTCGTTCTCATGGCTTTCTGATCCCTCTGCAACAGACATATGGTGCGCAATAAAATCACAGTATCGAATCGCAATACGTATAGAATCATGAGACTCGCAATGCTGATGCATATATCTTATCGTGAGGTTCCTGGCAATTCCCAGGCCAAGTTCATTTGCCACAACAAATCTATTCGCTAGCAAACGCGATGTCTTCTCCAAAACGACAATGTGTCTCCAGCAATGTTTACTTTTTTGACGTTCTATGGCATCTCCACTTTCCAAGCATATATGACCACATGTAATATTTTGGTAAGTGATGCAAATAGTGAACTATGTAGGGCCAGGATGTAAAATATATGTAGCTGCAGCAATTTCTCTTATCTGATATGGTAAGTAATGGGGCTTAATTTATAGCTCCCTAAGAGTTTGACGAACGGGTCCGTGAACGCGATTCCAGATATATTTACCTCTGAATAAACTGCCTTTATTACACCATATCCACATCCAGTAAACTTGTGATTATCAACACTAACCTCATCGTTGTGGCGGCGGACAGCTAGCCTGTATCCCTCGTCATCCAGTTGAGTGAGTGGCAATGTCTTTTTTCGTTCGTACCAATTTTTGGAAAATCCTCGGGTGTAGGACTTTCCGCCTTTAGTAGAAACCTGTTGAATTATTAAATTTGGTCTGGGAGGTCCTAATTGTTTCGTTGCCAATTTATCTTAATTTGTTCGCCGGCAAAAAGGAACTTCTTTCAAAGACACAATCGAGTTGGACTGAAGCCTAGCCATTTTGATAGTAGTAGTGAATTGATTGAGGCTGCTACCTGGTCTTTTCTTAGTTACGTTCATTCGTGGTTACGTTATGTATGACGAAAGCGCGTAAGTGCAAGCCCACAGACACCCATAGAGAATGTATTGAAAGCTTTGAAATGTGAAAAAAATAGATTTTACATGACAGGCTATGAGAGACTTCTGGGCGATTTTCAACCTGACTGAAATCGCCCAAAAAACGGGCGGGGCCATTTGAAGCACGACTTTAGCCTGATTTGACATTTAGTGGCTGTCAGATCAGACGTGAACACTGATAACTGCTGTTGCCGTGATATAATTTTTTATAAATTTATAAAAAAAAAATATTAATTTTTTTTAATTTTTTTTTTAAATAATTGATTAGAAAAAAAATCCCTTCCTTTTCCCGTTTGGCAGTGCGTCGCCCATATCGCCCTATTGAACAAGCCGTCCCTGTTTGTAGTCTACATGTGTTCTATAGCAGTTGTAGTCTACATGTGTTCTATAGTAGTTGCAGTCTACATGTGTTCTATAGTATTTGTAGTCTACATGTGTTCTATAGCAGTTGTAGTCTACATGTGTTCTATAGTATTTTTAGTCTACATGTGTTCTATAGTATTTGTAGTCTACATGTGTTCTATAGTAGTTGCAGTCTACATGTGTTCTATAGTATTTGTAGTCTACATGTGTTCTATAGCAGTTGTAGTCTACATGTGGTGTACGAGGGTGTAGAAGGAGACACAGGGTGTGATATAGGGATCTATTTGTCCATTTGGGGACAGGTGTTTTGAGGGAGAAGGAGTGGTGTGGTCCGGTCTGGTCCGATGGCTCTGGGCTCAGAGAGTGTGTTAGACTACGCCGTTGCTGGACTTAATTGCTGGTAGTTAGCGAATGGTGAAATGTGAATATGCTGTTTTCCTCCATCTGAGAGTGGTTGAATGGGTTGTCGCTTACTGTACTGTGAGAGCAAGAATGTCAAGACTAGCAATGACCTCACACTGCAACACAATACTTTACAGGCAGACAGACAGGCAGACAGACAGGCAGACAGACAGGCAGACAGAGAGTCGTTAACATAGCCATACTGATGTTATAAAAAGCCCTGGGACCACCTGGTGAACACCTATTAATCGTCAGGTAGCTGGAGGAGACATTCGTTAACCAGACGTTCGTTAACGGGCCTTTACAAATTAAACATGAGCATGAATTCTTCACAGCTGCGATATAAAAGAACAGGATAATTTTAGAAAGGAAATGTAGCTTCCTTCAAATAAAACCTCTCTGTCTTTGCCTGTTAAAACTATAATCTCTTTAGGAAGTTAAAAGGGAGGATTTCAGAGGGGTATTAGCTGATGTGATGAAAGTTAGGAAATGTTGCAGGTTTTGTATTTATTTTCATGTAATGGAAAGGGAACCTGAGAACTTAATTCGTTTTCCTGACAAAATAAAAGTGACACAAAAGCACTAACTAGCATGTAAAAACGTGTTACTGTTACAGCTGTACTATGATGCAATTCAGTCACAAATTGATTCTTGAGCCTAGAAATGTTTTCATGGCTAATCTTAGTTTCGCAGCTATGTCTTAAAGAATTTGAATGCTTAGATGGCGCAAATACTTCAAATAATTGCTTTTGAGTGGGTTTGACGTTGTATATGTGTATGCACGCCAGTACGTACAGTATGTGTGTACTGTGAGCTGTTGCAGCATTCTCCCTGTGTTATGCTGTTTAAGGTTGTGGTCTAGTACAGTAGAATTGATTATCCTGCGGTGTGTGCTGCTGAGTGATTTCCCTGGATGTTAACTCTTAACCCTCGAGGTTAAAGGTCAGGACAGCCTGGGGGAGAGGGGATTGCTGATTTACTGATTCATTAGCACACTATTAAACTACTGTTAGAGAGAGAGAGAAACAGAGAAAGAGAGGGAGAGAGAGATAGGGAGAGAGAGGAAGAGAGAGAGGGGGAGTGATAGAGACAGTGAGGGAGAGCGGGAGAGAGGGTGAGAGAGACTGGAGGAAGTGTAAGAGAACAAGAAAGGGAGACAAGCAACGGCATAGAGCTGAATGGAGATGAATGGAGATGAATGGAGATGAATAGAGCTGAATGGAGATGAATAGAGCTGAATGGAGATGAATATAGATTAATAGAGCTGAATGGAGATGAATAGAACTGAATGGAGATGAATAGAGCTGAATGGAGATGAATAGCGCTGAATGGAGATTAATATAGCTGAATGGAGATGAATAGAGCTGAATGGAGATGAATAGAGCTGAATGGAGATGAATGGAGATGAATGGAGATGAATGGAGCTGAATGGATCTGAATGGAGATGAATAGAGCTGAATGGAGATTAATTGAGCTGAATGGAGATGAATAGAGCTGAATGGAGATGAATAGAGCTGAATGGAGATGAATGGAGATGAATAGAGCGGAATGGAGATGAATAGAGCTGAATGGAGATGAATGGAGATGAATAGAGCTGAATGGAGATGAATAGAGATGAATAGAGCTGAATGGATCTGAATTGAGCTGAATGGAGATGAATAGAGCTTAATGGAGATGAATATAGCTGAATGGAGATGAATAGAGCTGAATGGAGATGAATAAAGCTGAATGGAGATGAATGGAGATGAATAGAGGTGAATGGAGATGAATGGAGATGAATAGAGCTGAATGGAGATTAATAGAGCTGAATGGAGATGAATAGAGCTGAATGGAGATGAATAGAGCTGAATGGAGATGAATGGAGATGAATGGAGCTGAATAGAGATGAATAGAGCTGAATGGAGATTAATAGAGCTGAATAGAGCTGAATGGATTTGAAAAGAGATGAATGGAGATGAATAGAGCTGAATGGAGATTAATAGAGCTGAATGGAGATTAATGGAGATGAATGGAGCTGAATAGAGATGAATAGAGCTGAATGGAGATTAATAGAGCTGAATAGAGCTGAATGGATTTGAAAAGAGATGAATGGAGATGAATGGAGATTAATTGAGATGAATAGAGCTGAATGGAGATGAATAGAGCTGAATGGAGATGAATAGAGCTGAATGGAGATGAATGGAGCTGAATGGATCTGAATGGAGATGAATAGAGCTGAATGGAGATGAATAGAGCTGAATAGAGCTGAATGGATCTGAATGGAGATTAATAGAGCTGAATGGAGATGAATTGAGCTGAATGGAGATTAATAGAGCTGAATGGAGATGAATAGAGCAGAATGGAGATGAATAGAGCTGAATGGAGTTGAATGGATCTGAATGGATCTGAATGGAGATGAATAGAGCTGAATGGAGATGAATTGAGCTGAATGGAGATGAATAGAGCTGAATGGAGCTGAATGGAGATGAATAGAGCTGAATGGAGATGAATTGAGCTGAATGGAGATGAATAGAGCTGAATGGAGATGAATAGAGCTGAATGGAGATGAATAGAGCTGAATGGAGATGAATGGAGATGAATAGAGCTGAATGGAGATGAATGGAGATTAATATAGCTGAATGGAGATTAATAGAGCCTAATGGAGATGAATAGAGCTGAATGGAGATGAATAGAGCTGAATAGAGATGAAAAGAGCTGAAAAGATGAATAGAGCTGAATGCAGATGAATGGAGATGAATGGAGCTGAATGGATCTGAATGTAGATGAATAGAGCTGAATGGAGATGAATTGAGCTGAATGGAGATGAATAGAGCTGAATGGAGATGAATAGAGCTGAATGGAGATGAAGGGAGATGAATGGAGATGAATAGAGCTGAATGGAGATTATTAGAGCTGAATGGATATGAATAGAGCTGAATAGAGCTGAATGGATCTGAATGGAGATTAATAGAGCTGAATAGAGCTGAATGGACCTGAATGGAGATGAATAGAGCTGAATGGAGATTATTGGAGATGAATAGAGCTGAATGGAGATGAATAGAGCTGAATGGAGATGAATGGAGATGAAAAGAGCTGAATGGAGATGAATGGAGATGAATAGAGCTGAATGGAGATTAATAGAGCTGAATGGAGATGAATAGAGCTGAATGGAGATGAATGGAGATTAATAGAGCTGAATGGAGATAAATAGAACTGAATGGAGATTAATAGAGCTGAATGGAGATGAATAGAACCGAATGGAGATGAATAGAGCTGAATGGACCTGAATGGAGATGAATAGAGCTGAATGGAGATTATTGGAGATGAATAGAGCTGAATGGAGATGAATTGAGCTGAATGGAGATGAATAGAACTGAATGGAGATGAATAGAGCTAAATGGAGATGAATAGAGCTGAATAGAGATGAATAGAGCTGAATGGAGTTGAATGGAGAGTAATAGAGCTGAATGGAGATGAATAGAACTGAATGGAGATGAATAGAGCTGAATGGAGATGAATAGAGCTGAATGGAGATTAATATAGCTGAATTGAGATGAATAGAGCTGAATGGAGATGAATAGAGCTGAATGGAGATGAATGGAGATGAATGGAGCTGAATGGATCTGAATGGAGATGAATGGAGATGAATGGAGATGAATGGAGATGAATAGAGCGGAATGGAGATGAATAGAGCTGAATGGAGATGAATAGAGCTGAATGGAGCTGAATGGATCTAAATGGAAATTAATAGAGCTGAATGGAGATGAATTGAGCTGAATGGAGATAAATAAAGATGAATGGAGATGAATAGAGCTGAATGGAGATGTATAGAGCTGAATGGAGCTGAATGGAGATTAATAAAGCTGAATGGAGATGAATGGAGATGAATAGAGCTGAATGGAGATGAATGGAGATTAATATAGCTGAATGGAGATTAATAGAGCCTAATGGAGATGAATAGAGCTGAATGGAGATGAATAGAGCTGAATAGAGATGAAAAGAGCTGAATGAAGATGATTAGAGCTGAATGCAGATGAATGGAGATGAATGGAGCTGAATGGATCTGAATGTAGATGAATAGAGCTGAATGGAGATGAATTGAGCTGAATGGAGATGAATAGAGCTGAATGGAGATGAATAGAGCTGAATGGAGATGAAGGGAGATGAATGGAGATGAATAGAGCTGAATGGAGATGAATAGAGCTGAATGGATATGAATAGAGCTGAATAGAGCTGAATGGATCTGAATGGAGATGAATAGAGCTGAATAGAGCTGAATGGATCTGAATGGAGATGAATAGAGCTGACTGGAGATTATTGGAGATGAATAGAGCTGAATGGAGATGAATAGAGCTGAATGGAGATGAATGGAGATGAATAGAGCTGAATGGAGATGAATGGAGATGAATAGAGCTGAATGGAGATTAATAGAGCTGAATGGAGATGAATAGAGCTGAATGGAGATGAATGGAGATTAATAGAGCTGAATGGAGATGAATAGAACTGAATGGAGATTAATAGAGCTGAATGGAGATGAATAGAACCGAATGGAGATTAATATAGCTGAATGGAGATGAATAGAGCTGAATGGAGATGAATAGAGCTGAATGGAGATGAATGGAGATGAATGGAGCTGAATGGATCTGAATGGAGATGAATAGAGCTGAATGGAGATGAATTAAGCTGAATGGAGATGAATAGAACTGAATGGAGATGAATAGAGCTAAATGGTGATGAATGGAGATGAATAGAGCTGAATAGAGATGAATAGAGCTGAATGGAGATGAATGGAGAGTAATAGAGCTGAATGGAGATGAATAGAACTGAATGGAGATGAATAGAGCTGAATGGAGATGAATAGAGCTGAATGGAGATGAATAGAGCTGAATGGAGATGAATAGAGCTGAATGGAGATGAATAGAGCTGAATGGAGATGAATAGAGCTGAATGGAGATTAATATAGCTGAATGGAGATGAATAGAGCTGAATGAAGATGATTAGAGCTGAATGCAGATGAATGGAGATGAATGGAGCTGAATGGATCTGAATGTAGATGAATAGAGCTGAATGGAGATGAATTAAGCTGAATGGAGATGAATAGAGCTGAATGGAGATGAATAGAGCTGAATGGAGATGAAGGGAGATGAATGGAGATGAATAGAGCTGAATGGAGATGAATAGAGCTGAATGGATATGAATAGAGCTGAATAGAGCTGAATGGATCTGAATGGAGATGAATAGAGCTGAATAGAGCTGAATGGATCTGAATGGAGATGAATAGAGCTGACTGGAGATTATTGGAGATGAATAGAGCTGAATGGAGATGAATAGAGCTGAATGGAGATGAATGGAGATGAATAGAGCTGAATGGAGATGAATGGAGATGAATAGAGCTGAATGGAGATTAATAGAGCTGAATGGAGATGAATAGAGCTGAATGGAGATGAATGGAGATTAATAGAGCTGAATGGAGATGAATAGAACTGAATGGAGATTAATAGAGCTGAATGGAGATGAATAGAACCGAATGGAGATTAATATAGCTGAATGGAGATGAATAGAGCTGAATGGAGATGAATAGAGCTGAATGGAGATGAATGGAGATGAATGGAGCTGAATGGATCTGAATGGAGATGAATAGAGCTGAATGGAGATGAATTGAGCTGAATGGAGATGAATAGAACTGAATGGAGATGAATAGAGCTAAATGGTGATGAATGGAGATGAATAGAGCTGAATAGAGATGAATAGAGCTGAATGGAGATGAATGGAGAGTAATAGAGCTGAATGGAGATGAATAGAACTGAATGGAGATGAATAGAGCTGAATGGAGATGAATAGAGCTGAATGGAGATTAATATAGCTGAATGGAGATGAATAGAGCTGAATGGAGATGAATAGAGCTGAATGGAGATGAATAGAGCTGAATGGAGATGAATAGAGCTGAATGGAGCTGAATGGATCTAAATGGAGATTAATAGAGCTGAATGGAGATAAATTGAGCTGAATGGAGATGAATAGAGATGAATGGAGATGAATAGAGCTGAATGGAGATGAATAGAGCTGAATGGAGCTGAATGGAGATTAATAGAGCTGAATGGAGCTGAATGGATCTAAATGGAGATTAATAGAGCTGAATGGAGATAAATTGAGCTGAATGGAGATGAATAGAGATGAATGGAGATGAATAGAGCTGAATGGAGATGAATAGAGCTGAATGGAGCTGAATGGAGATTAATAAAGCTGAATGGAGATGAATAGAACCGAATGGAGATGAATATAGCTGAATGGAGATGAATAGAGCTGAATGGAGATGAATGGAGATGAATGGAGCTGAATGGATCTGAATGGAGATGAATAGAGCTGAATGGAGATGAATTGAGCTGAATGGAGATGAATAGAACTGAATGGAGATGAATAGAGCTAAATGGAGATGAATGGAGATGAATAGAGCTGAATAGAGATGAATAGAGCTGAATGGAGATGAATGGAGAATAATAGAGCTGAATGGAGATGAATAGAACTGAATGGAGATTAATAGAGCTGAATGGAGATGAATAGAGCTGAATGGAGATTAATATAGCTGAATGGAGATGAATAGAGCTGAATGGAGATGAATAGAGCTGAATGGAGATGAATGGAGATGAATGGAGCTGAATGGATCTGAATGGAGATGAATGGAGATGAATGGAGATGAATAGAGCGGAATGGAGATGAATAGAGCTGAATGGAGATGAATAGAGCTGAATGGAGCTGAATGGATCTAAATGGAGATTAATAGAGCTGAATGGAGATGAATAGAGCTGAATGGAGATGAATAGAGCTGAATGGAGATTAATATAGCTGAATGGAGATGAATAGAGCTGAATGAAGATGATTAGAGCTGAATGCAGATGAATGGAGATGAATGGAGCTGAATGGATCTGAATGTAGATGAATAGAGCTGAATGGAGATGAATTGAGCTGAATGGAGATGAATAGAGCTGAATGGAGATGAATAGAGCTGAATGGAGATGAAGGGAGATGAATGGAGATGAATAGAGCTGAATGGAGATGAATAGAGCTGAATGGATATGAATAGAGCTGAATAGAGCTGAATGGATCTGAATGGAGATGAATAGAGCTGAATAGAGCTGAATGGATCTGAATGGAGATGAATAGAGCTGACTGGAGATTATTGGAGATGAATAGAGCTGAATGGAGATGAATAGAGCTGAATGGAGATGAATGGAGATGAATAGAGGCTGAATGGAGGATGAATGGAGATGAATAGAGCTGAATGGAGATTAATAGAGCTGAATGGAGATGAATAGAGCTGAATGGAGATGAATGGAGATTAATAGAGCTGAATGGAGATGAATAGAACTGAATGGAGATAATAGAGCTGAATGGAGATGAATAGAACCGAATGGAGATTAATATAGCTGAATGGAGATGAATAGAGCTGAATGGAGATGAATAGAGCTGAATGGAGATGAATGGAGATGAATGGAGCTGAATGGATCTGAATGGAGATGAATAGAGCTGAATGGAGATGAATTGAGCTGAATGGAGATGAATAGAACTGAATGGAGATGAATAGAGCTAAATGGTGATGAATGGAGATGAATAGAGCTGAATAGAGATGAATAGAGCTGAATGGAGATGAATGGAGAGTAATAGGCTGAATGGAGATGAATAGAACTGAATGGAGATGAATAGAGCTAATGGAGATGAATAGAGCTGAATGGAGATTAATATAGCTGAATGGAGATGAATAGAGCTGAATGGAGATGAATAGAGCTGAATGGAGATGAATAGAGCTGAATGGAGATGAATAGAGCTGAATGGAGCTGAATGGATCTAAATGGAGATTAATAGAGCTGAATGGAGATAAATTGAGCTGAATGGAGATGAATAGAGATGAATGGAGATGAATAGAGCTGAATGGAGATGAATAGAGCTGAATGGAGCTGAATGGAGATTAATAGAGCTGAATGGAGCTGAATGGATCTAAATGGAGATTAATAGAGCTGAATGGAGATAAATTGAGCTGTATGGAGATGAATAGAGATGAATGGAGATGAATAGAGCTGAATGGAGATGAATAGAGCTGATGGAGCTGAATGGAGATTAATAAAGCTGAATGGAGATGAAATAGAAACCGAATGGAGATGAATATAGCTGAATGGAGATGAATAGAGCTGAATGGAGATGAATGGAGATGAATGGAGCTGAAGGGATCTGAAGGCGATGAGATATGATGAATAGAGCTGAATGGAGATGAATTGAGCTGAATGGAGATGAATAGAACTGAATGGAGATGAATAGAGCTAAATGGAGATGAATGGAGATGAATAGAGCTGAATAGAGATGAATAGAGCTGAATGGAGATGAATGGAGAATAATAGAGCTGAATGGAGATGAATAGAACTGAATGGAGATTAATAGAGCTGAATGGAGATGAATAGAGCTGAATGGAGATTAATATAGCTGAATGGAGATGAATAGAGCTGAATGGAGATGAATAGAGCTGAATGGAGATGAATGGAGATGAATGGAGCTGAATGGATCTGAATGGAGATGAATGGAGATGAATGGAGATGAATAGAGCGGAATGGAGATGAATAGAGCTGAATGGAGATGAATAGAGCTGAATGGAGCTGAATGGATCTAAATGGAGATTAATAGAGCTGAATGGAGATTAATTGAGCTGAATGGAGATTAATAGAGATGAATGGAGATGAATAGAGCTGAATGGAGATGATAAGAGCTGAATGGAGCTGAATGGAGATGAATAGAGCTGATTGGAGATGAATTGAGCTGAATGGAGATTAATAGAGCTGAATGGAGATGAATAGACTGATTGGAGATGAAAAGAGCTGATTGGAGATGAATAGAGCTGAATGGAGATGAATGGAGATGAATAGAGCTGAAAGGAGATTAATAGAGCTGAATGGAAATGAATAGAGCTGAATGGAGATGATAAACTGAATGGTGAATGGGGGTTGAATGAGCGAATGAAATGGAGATGAATAGAGCTGAATGGGATGAAAAGAGTGAATAGAGCTGAAAGGAGTGAAAAGAGCTGAATGGAGATGAATTGAGATGAATAGGTGAATGGGATGAATAGAGCTGAATGGAGATGAACAAAGCTGAATGGAGATGAATGGGAGATGAATGGAGCTGAATGGATCTGAATGGAGATGAATAGAGCTGAATGGAGATGAATGGGTAAATGGAGTGAGGGATCTAAATGGAGATGAATAGAGCTGAATGGAGATGAATGGAGATTAGAGCTGAATGGAGAGAATAGAGCTGAATGGAGATGAATAGAGCTGAATGGAGATGAATTGAGCTGAATGGAGATTAAATTTAAAGCTGAATGGCGATGAATTGAGCTGAATGGAATGAATAGAGCTAAATGGAGATGGATAAGCTGTTGGAATGAATAGAGCTGAATAGAGCTGAATGAATCTGAATGGAGATGAATAGAGCTGATTGGAGATGAATATAGCTGAAGGGAGATGAATAGAGCTGAATGGAGATGAATAGAGCTGATTGGAGATGAATAGAGCTGAATGGCGATGAATAGAGCTGAATGGAGATGAATGGAGATGAATGGAGTTTAAATAAAAGCTAATGGAGATGAATGGAATGAATAGAGCTGAATGGAGATTAATAGAGCTGAATGGAGATGAAAAGAGCTGAATGGAGATGAATAGAGCTGAATGGAGATGAATAGAGCTGAATGGAGAAGAATGGAGCTGAATAGAGATGAATGGAGATGAATAGAGCTGAATGGAGATGAATGGAGATTAATAGAGCTGAATGGAGATGAATAAAGCTGAATGGAGATGATTGGAGATGAATGGAGAGGAATGAATATGAATAGAGCTGAATGGAGATGATTGGAGAAGAATGGAGATGAATGGATATGAATAGAGTGGAATTGAGATGATTGGAGATTAATAGAGATGAATGGAGCTGAATGGAGATGAATATAGATGAATGGAGATTAATAGAGATGAATGGAGCTGAATGGTTTTGAATAGAGCTGAATGGAGGTGAATAGAGATGAATGGAGATGAATAGAGCTGAATGGAGATGAACATTACATTTACATTTTAGTCATTTAGCAGACCCTCTTATCCAGAGCGACTTACATCAGCAATTAGGGTTAAGTTTCTTGCTTAAGGGCACATCGACAGATTTTTCACCTAGTCGGCTCGGGGATTAGAACCAGCGACCTTTCGGTTACTGGCACAACGCTCTTACCCACTAAGCTACCTGCCGCCCTATAGATGAATGGAGATGAATGGAGATGAATGGAGCTGAATGGAGTTTAATAGAGATTAATGGAGATTAATAGAGATGAATGGAGATGAATTTAGATGAATGGAGATGAATAGAGCTGAATGGAGAGGAATGCTTCTGAATAGAGCTGAATGGAGATGATTGGAGATGAATACAGATGAATGGAGATGAATGGAGATGAATGGATATGAATGGATATGAATAGAGCTGAATGGAGATGAATGGAGATGAATGGAGATGAATAGAGATGAATAGAACTGAATGGAGATGAATGGAGATGAATAGAGCTGAATGGAGATGAATGGAGATGAATAGAGATGAATGGAGATGAATGGAGATGAATGGAGCTGAATGGAGCTGAATGGAGCTGAATGGAGATGAATGGAGATGAATGGAGATGAAAACATATTGAAGAAAAAGCAATGTGATGGTGCGTTCGAATGGGTAAAAACTAGGCTGAAAACATATCGAGCTGTCAGAGAAAGAATGAAAGCAGCGTGTGGACTGTGTGTATGATGTTTATTTTATCTGGTGTGGCAGGTGTGCTGATCGTTGTCTAACCTTGCTGTGGTGTGGTCTGGTCTGGTCTGCTAGCCACGGCCTGGCTGGGGAGGGAGGGAGGAGATAAGGGGAGTAATGGTGCTGTCCAGGAATATCACGGAATAACACGGACTGCCGAGGGAGACACCGGACAGACACTAGACAACAGACTCTATCCATCTATCCCTCTCTCTCTCTCCCCCTCTCTCTCTCTCTCTCTCTCTCTCTCTCTCTCTCTCTCTCTCTCTCTCTCTCTCTCTCTCTGTCTCTCTCTCGTTCTCTCTCTCTCTCTCTTTCTGTCTCTCTCTCGTTCTCTCTCTCTTTCTCTCTCTCTCTCCCTCTCATCTCTCGCTCTCTCTATCTCTCGCTCTCTCTATCTCTCGCTCTCTCTATCTCTCGCTCTCTCTCTCTCTTTCTCTCTCTCTCTCTCTCTCTCGTTCGCTCTCTCTCCCCTCTCTCTCTCCCTCTCTCTCTCCATCTCTCGCTATCTCTATCTCTTGCTCTCTCTCTCTCCATCTCTCTCTTCTGTCTCTCTCTTTCTCTACTTGTCTCAGAACATATATTATATGGTTCATCCCCTCCCTGCTGGTATTGTTTTTTACAGCAACTGTTTGTTTGGGGGAAATATGTTCAGCTGATTCCCCAAAGGACACAGGAACCTCTTTGTGTGTTATCATACAACTGAAACTTATAGAAGTCAGAAAAATAGATAACCGTTATAGGTTGGATGCGTGACATCAGACTTTACAGGAGAGACGCCCTCAGAGAAAGGATAGGTGACTGACTGCAATATTGTGGAAACTATTACAGATGGTCTCATACCTTTCTGCCCTAAACAGAATTGCTTCAGGTATATCTAAAAGGGTCTGGTAAAGGAAATTGGTGCAAAGGCCTGAAGCTGGTATTTACCCTGTGTGTCAGACAGCCTTGTGTATACTGTTAATGAGTGTTGATATTGGCAGCAGCAGCGGTGGTATTGGGTAAAAACAGTGCTTTATAAAGCTACACTAAGCTAATAGCCTGATCTAATCCAATCAGCAGATATCCCATTAATACTATGTGGTCTGTTAATTAAATAGTAAATAGAAAACGCATCACATCCCTACTCTTTGCCACCTGGAATGATTCACCATATAGCTCACGTTACTCACAGCTGACTTTTCAGATACTTCTGATGATATTTACATGATATTTATGGTTTTTCATTCCTTTTCAATTATCTTTGTGTGATGTGATTTTTTTATATTTTTTTTTAAACAAGGCTTTAGGGAATTAACACACACACAAGCACGCACACACACACTCACACCACTTTGTAAACTGACGATATACAAACAGCACATGCTAACCCATCCATGACTCCCCTCATAGTTTTTTTCAAACGCTTTGGTGCAATTTTCACAAGTACAGTGCCGTGATAAAGTATTTACCACTCTGATTTTCTCTATTTTTTGCATATTTTTTATGTTGAATGTTATCAGATTTTCAACCAAAACCTAACATTAGATAAAGGGAACCTGAGTTTACAAATAACACAAAAAATACATACTTATTTAATTTAATTTAATTAACAAAGTTATGCAACACCCAATTCCCCTGTGTGAAAACGTAATTGCCCCCCTACACTCAACAAACTGGTTGTGCCACCTTTAGCTGCAATGACTACAACCAATGCTTCCTGTAGTTTTTGATAAGTCTCTGTTTTTTGGGCCCCAACTTTTTGAAGCAAAAACTGCTTTAACTCAGAAAACATTTGGGGGTTTTTAAAGAATAAAAACGGGCTGGGTTTAAAATTTAACCCGCCACAACTTTCTCAATTGGGATTAGGTTTTTATTTGACTAGGCCTTCCCAAAAACTTAAAATGTGTTCCCTTAATTTAGCCTTTTTCATGGAGATTGGTTTGGGGTTTTGGTTTTGGATCTTTGTCTTGCTGCAGGGCCCCCGCACCCGCTTCAGTTTTCAGCTCAAAAACGGATGGTAATTCCCTGTTAGAATTTTTCTGTACAGGCGGGAATTAATGGTTTTTCCATTTAAGGCAAGTGGCCAGGTCCTGAGGCAGAAAAAAGGACCCCAAAAACCACACACTACCACCCCCAATGCTTCCCCGTTGGGGGGGTTTTTTTTATTTGGGGGAATGAAATTTTTGGTTTTTGGTTTTCCCGGGCATAAGGGGCCCAAAATTCGCCCAAAAAGGGTTGCCTCAAGTTCCCAAAAAAAAAAAGCCCCCCTTGGAAAAGCCAAAACCGGGAGGGACCCTCAGGGACTTTTGGGGGAAAAATTTTTGGGTTTTTGATGATCCCTTCCTCCAACTGGTTTTTCCTTGGGGGGGGCGGACGGGGGAAGGGGGAAGGGGAAACGACAAGACGGGGAAAAAGCACCCAGAGGGGGGGGGAAACAAAGCGATCGGGGGAAATAGGGAGGAAAGACAGGGAGAGGCCAGGGGGGCGGGGGCCCCGCCGCGGCCCGCCCCAACCCGGGAGGGGCGCAGCGCGGGCGGGGGCCCAGCGGCGGGCGGCGCCCCGCCCCGGGGGCCCGGGGCGCGGCGCGGCCGCGCGGGGGGCCGAGCGCGCAAAGGCGCGGGCGCGGGAGGGGGGGCCCCAAAAACGCGGGCGGGGGCCCAGAGGCAACCGGAAAACAGCGAAGGGCGCCGGCGCCAAGCGGCCGCGGGCCAGGGGGGCCCGGCCAAAAAGGGGCCCGGGGAGCCCCCCCCCCGGCGACCCGGGGGCGAGCGGGGCCCCCGGGAAAAGCGCGCGCCCCACCCAGCGGGGCCCCGGAGAGGCAGGGAAACCCGACCCGTTGGGGAAAAAGATGAGGGAAAAAGAACCGAGGGGCGGCGGGGCAAAAGGCCGGCCCCGGGGGGGGGCGGGCACGCCCCGCGGCGAGCCGGGCGGGGGCCCGCGAGGGCGCGCGCGAGCGCGGGGCGCAAAGCGCCGACGCCGGGAGGGGAGCGCGCCCCGGGAAGCGCCCCGCCCCGCGCCGGCCCCCGGGCCCCGGGCCCCGCGCAGCGCCCCCCCGGGGCGCGCCGGCTCCCGCGCGGGGCCCCGAGGCGCGCTGCGGGGGGCCGCGCGCGCCGCGCGCGGGGCCCCCGCCGCGCGCGCCCCGCGCGCGGCGCCGCGGGGGCGCGCGAGCCCTTCGCGCCGACGGCGCGCCCCGGCGCGCGCGCCCCGCGCCACCCCCAACCCCCCGCGCGGCGCCAGAAACCCAGCGGGAAAGCGGGGCCCGAAACCCCCAAATCCCCCCGCGGGGCCACGGGGGAGCGCTTTACCCCCCAAACTCCCACCCCATCCCCTCTCCACCCCCCTCCCCAAATCCCCCCCCCACCCCCCCCCCCCTCCATCCCCCCCCTTCTTCCCCTCTTCATACCCACACCCCCCGCAAGGCAAAAAACCCCACACTTTTACTCCCCAAATTTCACTCGCACACACACGCAGATTTTACACACAACCCCACAAACGCCACACCTCGAAAATTACACCACCCCAAAACCACTCCACAGCGCACACCCCGCACGCAAACACACACCGCAAAAACACACACACAAAAAAACCTCGAAACCACCCCAAAACCCCTACACCACCCCTGCACCCCCCAACACAACACCGCACTCGCACATCCCAACACACCCCCACTCGCACATGCCACACACACACACACACATATACTCGCACACGCGCACACATACTCTTTCAGGTGTACAGCGGAACTATTTAGTTGTTAGTTTCTTTAAATTAAGCAGCATATGCCTCTGTTTGCGCAGCATAGCATGGTGTGTGTGTGTGTGTGTATGTGTGTGTGTGCGTTTGTTTGTGTGTGTGTGTGCGTGTATGTGTGTGTGCATAATGTGAGCCAGGTTTAGCCTCCGGGGTTCGCTAGAGGACAGGTGATGAGCAGTGAGGTCTAGAGTGGTTTAATCTGTCTTTGTCTAATACTTTGTCTAATACGTGGTCCTCTGTAGCTCAGCTGGTAGAGCACGGCGCTTGTAACGCCAAGGTAGTGGGTTCGATCCCCGGGACCACCCATGCACAAAAATGTATGCGCGCATGACTGTAAGTCGCTTTGGATAAAAGCGTCTGCTAAATGGCATATTATTATTACTTGTTAATAAGGTAAAACACACTGCACAGCGCAGGGAAGGGATGATTACTCTAGAGGGGAAAAGATGGCAACTAGCACTCACAGTCTTATGTCAGAATTCGACGTTCATCCATTTTTCTCAAACATCACATTTCGAAGTTGTTCCAAACGTCATATTTCGAAATGTTTAAGGTTACTTTTAGACATTAACTCCTAATTTCTAAGCTTAGGGTTAAGTTTAGGCATTAATTCTGAAATTGTAAGGCTAGGTATTAACTCTGAATGGTTAAGGTAAGGGTTAAGGTTTAGGTTGAAAACAAAAATCTCAAAAACGTTCTATTGCTGCATTCGAACATACAACCTCAGGCACCAGAGGCAGATGCTTATGTCTATCATCCATCCCTGTCCACAACACCCTAGCAAAACAGAAAAACCTACTCGAAGGTAATAGTGCTCACTGTTGCCCCTAGTTACCGGTTTCCATGTCATCTCCCAACGTCCTCAGACATGAATGGACGTCCAATACTGTCTTGTATCAAGGGTGACCTGGCTGAAGATGGAGCGATTGTCTTCCTCTTCACCTCCACAGCTAAAAGCAGTGTCAAGGAAATATGTCACACTGACATGTGTCTATTACACTGCAGAGGAGAAGTGAGTCAGTGTGTGTGTGTGTGTGTGTGTGTGTGTGTGTGTGTGTGTGTTTGCATGCATACGCATGTAATACCCGTTCTGGCCCTGACCTGACCGTCACATTACAGGCCTCATAATTCCAGTCCTGGGGTAGAGTTCTAATTGATGTGACAAAGTGCAGAGGAATATCTGCTTTCTCTGGAGCGGTTTTCCAATCTGTCACTTCTTTCTCTCTGTCCGTCCATCTGTCCCGTATCCCTTTCATGGCCTTGTATTGCTGAACTGGACAGAAACACCCTCTTGACACATCTGACGGTCGGATATTATCATAATCTCTTGGTATCGAGTGTTGAGTGTGAAGGGTGTGTGTTGTCTCTGAGTGTGTTTGAGTGTGTGTGAGTGTTGTATCTGAGTGTGTTTGTGTGTGTGTGTGAGTGTGAGGGTGTTGTCTCTGAGTGTATGTGTGTGTGTGTGT